CTAGACTGTACACTGAAGTCCTAACACGATGAGTAGACAAATCCTCAAATATACAAATATTTAAAATATCAAACACATTTCAGCATTATCATCCAAAAGGATAGACTCTGAATCTGGGAAGATTTAATTAATCTAAGTCAGTGTTTCCTAGTCGTTTTTTATTTTTACTGAGTTTTATGGCCACAACTACATCTTCTATCATGACCCAAAACATACATAATTACTGTAAAAGAGGAGGAAATGTCCCCAGATTAAGAAATGGGAAGACTGTGTGTTATGCATCTTTTCTTGGGGCTTGAGAAAGTTGTTCAAGCAACCTGCTTAAATCAGAATTTTTTAGTTGGTGCTCTGCTTCTAACCTCTGTCTGACACCTGTTCATGCTTCCATGTTAATTGTCAGACACAACTATTGATGGAAAAAACCTTGTTATTCTAACTCTCAGCCACAGATGTAGTCTTAGCATTTGCTTCTTAGATGTTTTGTTTTCTTTTTCCAACAGCAGCACACGGACATCTCAGATCATCCTGTCCCAGACTGCCTTTGTAATAACTGATATGGATGTGATGTTTACGTGACCTTGTGAAATTAACTTTATAATTTCTTCCTCATTTTTTAAAACTAGCTGCTTAGGTAAATATTGTGTTTCCTAACTGAATAATCCTCCCATTTCCCAACTCTCTCTGAATAGATATTTTTTATTAGTTCCTTTTATTAGTTCCTTGCTAGCTAGTAAACCAATACTGACATATCCTAAACATCAACCTAAGAGATTTTGTTTTCAACAACATATATTGGGAAACAAAAGTTTCAGAAAACAATATTTCACTTACTATGTGCTACGCATTCTGATTTTTTGTATGTTTCATTTCTTTTTAAAAAATTGACTCCCTGACCCATTAGTATTCTTGGAACTTGAAAACTACTGAACTTAATTCCCCTTAAATAGATTACAGATTCATTATTTTAAAATGTAAATGGAATATCTGGGAAGGATTTGACTGGCAAAGGGTAGGAAGGAGAGTACTTTAAAAATGTACGAAATAGCATTAAATGTATCTGGAGAGTGATATGTTAAAGTTTCTCTTTTTGTCTGAATAGGAAGAGAATTATAATTGACCAAGAATTAGTAGCAGGTTTCCAGCCTAAAGTAGCAGAATGCAGGGGCCAATGTGGGAAGTGGTGCTGGAGAACAAAGAGAGACAGGCCCAGGAGGTTTCATGATTTGACACGGGTCACACACCAGTCAAGGAGTTGCAGAAGCTACCAGAGGCAAGCTGGAGGGGACAGCACTCAAGAGCTGGGAAGTGCAAGAACAGACCAATGCAGGAGATGAAATGCAAATAAAAATGCTGAACAGGGCAAAACTATATAGCAAATGTTTTATGGCAAAAAGCCTGAGGCTGTTCTTAGAGAAAACAGCAATCAAAGGAATTCTATAGTGGAAGCTTCCTCTGTGAAAGACTATATTGACCAACTGTTCCATTTTTAAAAGCTTGACCCATTTTCAAGTCTATCCTAAAATCTGAATTACTGTTCAGTCTTCAATAGGTCAGGGATCGATACTGAACTTCTAAATACTTGTCCCCCTCCTTCCTTCTGCCCCTCAATTAGCCCTATTGTAAATGTCTATCCATACATATGGACATAGATATGAATAAAGATAAAGATATGGATATAAAGATAAAGATAAGAAACATTAAAATAAGTTACATGTATGATATAAATTTGTAAACTATATTTAGAGGCAAACTAAGGTTTTTTTTCCTCTTATTAGCTACGCACTTTAATTTTGCAGGTTAGGCACAGTTTACTCTATTTTCTGCAGAATGTTAGAAGCCAAAATATCTAAGAGGAGATATTGTTGCTAAACTTTAACACTTTGCACTCGGATGTCGAGTGTGGATAATGTCGAGTGGATAATGAGAAAAAAGCAAGCGAGTGCAAAGGGTTAAAAGGTGTTTTCAAATATTTACCAAGTATATTACATGTATACTTGAAGTTATTAAGCTTTAAAAATAGCATAATAATTTCAAACTAATTTTACATAATAATGACAACTACTATTTATTAAGGTTAGGAGTTTACACAGTTATCTCTAATTACAGATGAGAGTAACCATGATACCGAAAAATTAATCTATTCATGATCACAAAACTATTAAGTGGCAGAGCTGAGATTCAAATATAGGCAGTTTGGTTACAGAGTCTGTGTTTTTAAGCAATATACTAATATAAGAAAAATAAATTTAAAAAAATCATTCTGAGTAAAATTGTACAAAGACCAAGAGAAAAATCTCAAAAGCAGCTAGTGGAAGAAGTCAGAATACTTTCAAAGCAGTGACAGCTTGACCCTCAATAGCAAGAGTGGAAGTGAGTAGATGACATCTTGAATGTGCTGAAATAACATAATTTTCCATCTTGAATTCTCTATCCCATGAAAATGTATTTCACAAATAAATGTAAAACAATGACATTTATCAGGCAAATAAAGTTGAGAGTGTTTGCCTCCAAAAGATCTTCACCAAAGGAAATTCTAAAACATGTACTTTAACCGAAAGAATTGATCCTGGAAGTAATGTCTAAAATGCAAGATGGAGTAAAAAACAAAGCAATTGGTAAAAATGTAGGAAATTCTAAAGGAAAATATCCCTTGTATAAAAGAAAACATACAGTAATATGACATAAGTCATTAGGGGCACAAAAATAGTCATTAGATGTAGACTTTAATAAGGTAAGTGTGTATGTTGTCCTGAGGATACCACTAAAAGCACAGAAAAAGAGTGCATAATCTCAAAACTCAGGAAAGGTAAATGAAAACAAAAGAAGGTATTAAAGAAGAGGAAAATAAAAGCCAAGAGAAGTAAACACACAAAATAACGTGGTAGATTTAAAACCAAATATATCCGTATTTACACTGATGGATTAAATTATCCAGTCAGAAGATAATATTGTCAGACAGTATTTTAAAATGTCCAAGTACATGCCTTTTATAAGAAACACCATTAAAACACAAGTACACAGAAAGGTTAAAAGCAAAAAGCTAGAAAAATATTCATTGAGAAAATAATAAGCAAAAGAAATCATTTTTCTATATTACCATCAAACAAAGCAGACTTTATGGGAAAATATTATTATAAAAAGGTCATGTAAAAAAAAGCATGATTACAAAAAAGCACTATTATCAAAATGATAAAATGTTCAATTCAACAAAAAATTGCAGTTATCCATATAATTTCACCTAAGATCACAGCCTCAAATTATGTAGAACAAAATTTGAAAGAACCAAGAAAAAACTAAAAATGACAATCACAGTGAGAGATTTAAACATACTTCTCTTAGTAATTGACTTTAAAAAAAGGTAGACCAAAGTAGAAAAATAAGCAAGAATGTAGATTATTTGAACAAGATTAGCCAAATTGACCTACTAGACATATATTACAAGCACTGCCTCAACAATCCAAGAGTACACATTCTTTTTAAGAGCAATAAATTATTTAAACAATTAACCCTTTCCTGGAGAAAAAAAAATCAAGTTTCAACAAATACCAATCATATAGAGCATTTGTATTACCACAAAACAACATAATCTAGAAAAGGACAACAAAAGATAACTAGAAAAGCTTTATATAGTTTGGAATTTTAGAAACACAAGTCAAATGGCCCATGAGTCAAAGAAGAAATCATAGTGGAAATTACAAAACTAATTTTAACTGAATGTATCATCATTCAGTTTGAGGGATACAGCTTGCTTGAGGGATACAGCCAAAGCAATGTTTAGGAAGAAATTCAGACCTTTAAAATTCATATCTTAGGTAAGAAAAAGCTGCATATTGAGCTAAACATCTATCTCAATAAGTCAGAAGTTAGGAAAAGAACACTAAAAAAAGTAGAAGAAAGATATATAGATTAATGAAACAAAACTAATGACAAATGTCTAGTGACAATGCTAAAGAAAAAGAAGAGAATACACAAATAACCAATATAAGAAACAAAAGGGGCACGTCATTATAGATATATCAGATAGATTAAAAATATGGCAAAATTTTTAAATAAAATGAGCAAATTCCTAGAAATAGCAACTTAAACAAAACTGACACAGAAGAAACAGAAACCCCCAAATGTCCTATATAAAAAAGGGTGATAGTCAGAATATTTAAAACTTGGTTTGACAAAGACCAAGTTGACCTAATCAGAACTGACACCAACTCTGAAAACCAGAACACCAATGCTAATAATGCTTAAAGACTGCCTCAAACTTTTAAGAATTATTACCACTATTTCTCACAAAGAAAATGCTAGACCCAGATGGCTTTACTGATGAATTCTACCAAATAGTCAAATAAAAAAACTTACTTCAAACTTACGCCAGAAAATAGAAAAACACAATATATTTATCAGCTCATTTTATGACTCTAGAAAAAGCTTGATACAAAAAATATCTGACAAAAATAAAAAATATAAAAATAAAAAAATTATAAAAATATTTATAGCCCAATTTTATTCTTGACGAGGCAAAAATATAATACAAAACAATGGCAAACTGAATCCAGCAAAATTAATACATTGTGACCAATTTGAATTTATCTCAGGAACACAAAGTTGATTCAACATTATAAAAACTCAATATTAAAAGAGAAGATCATAAAGTTACCTTGAATAGATACAGTAAGAGATTCATGATAAAAATGTTTAGCAAAGTTGCAGTAGAAACTTCCTTAACATGATAAGCAATAATTACAAAAAAAGTTAAATGTCATCTATAATAGCGACACACTGAAAATTTTCCCCTTGAGATCAGAAAAAAGAAAACGATCAACTCGAATCAGACTTTCTCATGATTTTCTTAGTCATTTTCAAATTTATTCTATTAGACAATATGGATTCTAAAACGCTATCTATTCTTATCTACACGATAAGAGGATGTCCTCTACTCTTCAAGTTGTGATGGCCCCACTAAACTTTCTAAATAAAAGATTCAGTTCTATGATCATATTACATACCATAGGTTCTGTTTCCTTTGGAGGCTTGTCCAGAGGAGGAACGTACCATTGAAAGCACAGTTCTTTGTTTAAAGCGTGTATTGCCATTTCTGATGATGTCAGGTCCATGCCAGATGAGCTGGCAGGGAGCTTTAAAGATAAAACTGAGTGTATAGAACTGTCACGACTTAACTAGGGGACAAAAAACAAAACAACAACAACAAAAAACATTGGTTTAGTCACTGGTAATAAATTCATTCAATACATAAAATTAATTGGCAATACTGAAAAACTCTGGGAATTGTCTCAGCTTGTTTTATGGAAGTCGATCTTAAAACTGTCCCTGAGTTACCACAGAGAAGATTCTTCTACAGTGAAAATATGCCTCAGAACCAAGGGGACTCAACAAATGTCTTCCACTTTGATAAATCTTCTGGATGAAGATCTAATGGAGAAAATGCTCACACAACCATTTCAGTGTCAAGGTCCCCATTGTTTCTAAGAACACCTATTTTATTTCTGGTTTATTCATTGGTGATTACACTAAGGGCATGGTTATAATTTATTATCTATTTTCCAATAGCTTTTTTTTGCAGTGCCATATGAAAAATAGGACATCATTTTTGTTCTAAAGGCTAAAATTCATTGTTCTAAAATCCATTAACTCTAAAAGGTTAGAATCATTCTGTCCTTAAATGAATGTGGCAAGTTCAATTTGAAAGTTCAAACTTTGGCAAATTTGGGCCCAGCTTCTTTATGGAACGTGGCCACTGAATTAGAAGTCTTTAAGAAACATTAATGAACAGAATGCAATTATCAATTTCATAAATTATTTAATTAATTGTTTAAGGTAGCTAAGAAAGCAAAGCACAGTTGCTAATTATCATTAAAATAGCAGGCTATCCATAGAGATATTAATAGTGAAAACAATATCTCAAAGTCTAAAAAGGACCTTCCTCAAAGGAGTGCAAACTAATTTCAAAATTAACTTCTTGTTATTCCCAAGACTATAGCATGGTAGGTGGGAAGCAGTTCCTCTATTATACTCTTTTTGACATCTAAGAACTCTTAAGGTTTCATGACCAAAGAGAATATGTTAGTGGCCAGAAAGAAGTGCCTGGTAGTTTCTATAAGGCTTTGTGCCTCCCATTATTTCTGAGCCTATTCAAGATATAAGACTTTGAATGCAAGTATTCAAAATAAAATAAAAAGAGAAATAAAAACACTGACCTTTCAAGTTGCCAATTGATAAAAGAAAAAATTTTTGACTGAAGGGTGATATTAAAAGAGAAAACTTTAAAAAAATGTCTAGACACTATCATAGAAAGATATTATAAGCCAGAATCCTCACTTCTGAAAGCATGATCAAAATGCACAGTAAGCAAGATTATTAATTAAGAGTAACTCTACGTCAGGCAGTTCATTTAAAAAATCAAGCAAATAATTGATTCAAACAAAATTTCTCATATTTCTTCATATGCAAGTGACTTTCAGAGGTCTGACAACTATTTTAGGAAGTAATTCATATTTAATAATTAGCCAAGTATTGAAATATAAAAAGCAAATATCTTTTATTTCAATATATACATTGTTTATTAGCATGGTAGTCTAAAAATGATAAATTGCAACAGAAGTCAGTATCAAAATAGGTATTTAATGTTCCATTATCTTTAAAATATTATAATATCTAGTTGCTAATGGGATTCATTATGTATGATAATTGATAAGGTATACACTGACTACTTTTAATATATTTTCTTTATTCTTAGAAAGAAATAAAACAGGCCTATCAGGGGAACCCTAGATCGCCACAGTTCTATAAACAAAGCAGCCCGCATTAGTCAGATATTTGACCTTATCTAGACCATCACAGGCACACAGTCTAAGCATGAATAACTCAGCATTCCACACAATTTTAATCATATTCTTTTGGGGGACTTTTTAGTGTAATTTGTTTGGTGCCTTTGTTTTTCCATCACAAAGCTCCAATGGATTTGACAACATGCAGAATCACACAACTGATCAATACAACACAGAGCGATGATCCTTCTGGAAAGGCAAATCTACTTTTTTGTGGGGGAAAGTAGGTTTAAGTATCAAATTATGGAAAGAGTTTGATTGAAATAGCCTAATAGCCTCCTGAGTGATTAAAGGTTCAAAAATGTTATTATAAAAGTCAGCCAAGCTTGAAGTTTGTATATAAAAAAAAATCCAAAAGCCTTTATGTTCATTAGCTGTCTACCTCAGTGAAACGAACACATGATTAGGTGGCTTGCACCTGTCAGGGGGAGACAGTGATCTCCAGAGCTGATTATCCTGGGAGACTGTTACACTAAATATATCAAAAAAGAGCAAACAGGGTGAAACAACTCTTTGATAACACTGCTGCCATTAGAAATGTCACACGTATTTACAATGTATTCAAGGTTGTATGTTTTGATCATCATCCTTAGGAACTAGTACTGATAGGCTCCCCTTAATACTAAAATACTCAAGCAGAGCTCCTTTTAGAACAGTATCTAAGAAGTCACACAGACTAATTTCCAAATACTGATATTGTATTCACAAGAATAGATCCATCAAAACTACTGTTCTCAGCCTTCCCATCCCCCATCCCCGACTCCAAAACACCGGAAGTGTCTAGATACCTGTAACGGTAATTCTCAAAGACAGTCTCAGTTCCCCTGGTGAATCAGAATCTGGTGTTAGATGGAAATGACTTCATCTCACTGCCACTGTGTGGAGGTCCAGACATTAACATTACACTCCTGGCTTTTCCACCTCCTCACCCACACCTCTTCCTTGAGGAGCATGGTTTGATTGGTGAATTTGGGAAGAAGAATTTGGGGCATGTATAGTTCTGGTCTTTCTTCTTGGGAGTAAACTGTTTGCAGGAAGTGGCAATTATCTGTTCCATGCAACAGATTTTAAGAGGCCTGTCCCCTTTGAAGAGGCCAGTAATGACCCAATACTATGAGGCTGGATTGGTAAATCTGCCTACTTTGAAATTCATTACTAGGGAGGCCATTCACTGGTAGTTATAAGCTACATCCTACAATGTCAACTTTATGACTTATAAAGGCAGGCATTTTTAAATTTCAATCTGTTTTACTCTTTTATTTTGCAAATGATTTAGAATCTGGGCAAGGAATGGGGTGAAGTGTCAGGCATGCCAAAAATCTTGCTGTGTGCTTGTAAATACCTTGCCCTAGGGGCAACTTCATAACCCCAGTTGAGAATCATTTATTTAATTGAATTCTTAAAAATTACTTAATGGGTCTTTCCACTACTTTTTAAAAACTCACAATTTATTAACAGTCACATGACTCTCTTGAGTAGAGCAGAATGTTCAAAAGAGTGACCTTGTAAAAATTTATTATTATCTACCTAAACTACAAGGTTGCTATATTCTAGTAGGACAAAATGAATAAAGGTTCCTATTCTAGAACAGCCACATTTTCAGTTCTCTGGCAACAGAAACATGGACATGTCTGGTACAGGCCAGCCTATAGCTATAAACATTAAAGAGCTAGATGGCAAAGTCCAAAGTAGAGAAAATTCAAAATAAATGACTTTTCCCATTTTGAAAAAATTCTGTGCAAATAAATCAATTTATCCAATTCACAAATATGTATTGGAAGCTTACAACATGCTGTGTCCACTTGAGTTTTGTACTAGACTCTTGAACTCTGTATCTACAAAGCAGAATGTCTCAGCTTCCTCCACAAATGTGCTTGTCCTTGAGTCTCCACTGTATCTGCTGGTGGAGTCACCATGAGCTAATGATCACAGATAGAGGTTCCAAATGGTGGAAGAGGTCATTTTCTCTTCACTTGCCATCTCTGAAGAGTCATCAAATTGTCTTGTTGTTGTTTTCAATTTTCCTTAAGCAATATCTTTTACAGCCATCTCTTCCTTCCCATTCTTGTGGTCATTAGCTCCATTGTCTCTCTCAGGTCTCTCTCCCTTTCATCTATCCTTTGCCTATCAGCCCCGTGGACAGTAAAACTAATATAGTAAATATTTTAATTTTCACATTCTTTCTGCTATTATTAACCCTGCCATTTTCTCTTAAAAAACTTCTCTAAGTAAAATAACTGTCTTTTGTTGTAACCTGACCACACCAAGACTATATGTACAGGGACTAAGCCTTATCCATTCTTTCCTTCTCCATTAACTAAGCGTGTCTCTGGCATATTGTACGTATTCAACATACATTTGTTGAATATCAAATACATATTCTTATTTCTTAATAAAATTCCTTACTTTTTCAGTATCTTCCAACTTATCCATTTTGGTAGTTGATTCAAACATTACTGTTATTCAAGACCCTAGTAGCTTTAATTTAAAAAAATCTCCATTTATATATTTTTATTTTTATGTCTCTACAATAGGAACCTTAAAAGAAGTTTCTATAACATATATTTTGGAAAAGTCTATCCAATTTAATAACACTTCCCCAAATAAAAAGTCTTCAAACTTTTATTTGAAAATTACCTCTATTAGTTATTTATACTGATAATTGCAAAAAGTATACACAATGAATGATTTTAATTACTAATTTAGGTTACAAAAATTAGGCATAGATTTAGGAACTCTCAGTGTAGTTTTCTTATAGGGTGATGATATTGAAATTTGTATAACTTATTGGCAAAATGGCTGCCTGAGAGATATTTTATGTAGAAATATAGAATATTTTGAGACATTTTAAAGATTTATGAGAATAAGATAGAACATTTGAAATGTGAACTGTCTTAAAAATCCAGGATATTTGGTTGGCCTATCCACAGGGTAACACAGACATGAGCCTTCCTTAGATCTCTGAGGGAACTAGACATCTTTGTGCCAGAATAGAAGTTAACGTGCTTCCTTCAGAAATATAAGGAATATTCTAAGAGGTTTTACATAAATATGTAATATTTTTAAAAGATTACCTTGGCCGATGATTCATATAAGCCTTTTTCTGAAAGAGGTGGATTTTCCAACCCTTGAAGAAGTTCTTTTGGAAATTCATCAATACAAGAAGAAGAATACAGGTGTAAGAATTTTTTAAGGAAAAAATGCATTTCTTTCTGGCGCAAAACCAACTCAGAATTGTAAAGGGATGTGAAAAGTGTATCATCTGGTAAAGAAATTCCAGATACCGGCATTGCAGATGCTTAAGGAAAAAAAAAAATCTTAGTTTAGGTTCATGTTCAATAACAGGATGATCTCAATATTGTTAGTATTTGCTCACTAACCACTATCCCCAGCTGGTAGCTGCCAACAGTCTGCCATTTTCAGAGGTTATACACTAACAGAATTGCTTCTTGCACACAGGAAGGAAAGAAATTTCAGAGGCACATGAGGATATTGCTTCAGGTTGTAAGTATTGACAAGGGTACCATATATTCTATCTCCCTGTCTTATTTTGGGTACCCCCCACCAAAAACAGATTCTAAGGCAAGAATTTAGATGCAGGAAGTTCATTTGAAAAGTGATCTCAAACACAGGAGAGGGGACGAGAAAAGTGTAACCAGGAAAACAAAAAAAGCCAATAAGGCTGAGTCGATGAATGGACAGTAAGGGCTCAGTCCCACTGAGAACCTTTTAAAAAAACATGTACCATTGTTCCCTTTGAGAGACTGAGAAGCTGGACTGTTTACCTACGAGCTCCGCACCTCATCAGTAGAAGGTTACTCGTGTGTGAGGAATCCCTGGCACTTGTAGGCTGTCCTGCTTGCAGGCTGGGCAAGCCCTGCTGGCTTCAGGGAAAGCCCAGGCAGAACAGCAGTGGCAAAATGTGGGTGCTTGACGTGAGAAGTGCCAGCGGTGAATTCGGGGGGGGGGGGGGGGGGGCAGACGACACATCACCAGGGTGGGCTGCACTGGCTCATGTCCACCACATCCTTCCTCTCAGAACTTCCCTTGTCCTGGCTCCCTTCCTGATGAACTTTTTAGCCCTGACACCTTGTAGAGTGCTTGTTTTTCCCATTGCTAACTCCTGACAACTACGCTTAGCTACTTGACTCAGCCTGTTTTCCCTGCTGGCTTCTCCATCACTAGCCTCAGCACGGGTCAAGCTGTCTCTTCTGTTTGCACTAATGAGCAACATTGGGTCACCAACCTCATGGGCACAGACAAAACATAACAATACACATTGTCAAAATCACTAAAGGGGCTGATGTGAAGCAGATTTTACCAGTTTTTCTGGATATTCTTTAGATAGCAACAATGATTTAAGAAAAAAAAAAAAAAGACCTCCATGGAGTTAAATATCCTATCTGAAGTCATGCATTTCTTCCTCCTCTCTCCCTGAAGCCAAAATTTCATCTTGTTCATTTTATTCATTTTATAAGCTGTCACATTGTGATCACTAGTTCTTAGCTGTTTTGAGCCACGGACCTCTTTGGCAGTCTGGGAAGCCTCTGGGTGCCTCCTTATCATGCTTTTAAATATGTGAAATAACATATTAAATATATGGAATTTCTAAAGAAACCAATTACACTGAAATACTATTCTATCCAAGGGTCCAAGTACACCAGGTTAAGAACTCCTGAAATTTTCATCTTCTGATGACAGCTCACTCAGAAAGATGTCAAAAGCATCTTATAATTCTAAATAAGAAACATAGCTTAAACTGGAGCTGGAAAGAAGTATGTTCTCTCTTAACACATCAAAAACCTACCAAGCAGTTTACTCATATTATTAATCCTTTGAAGGTGAATATAGTAACGGAGTAGAAGGATCCACGTAATATCCACTTTGGTCTGAGTCTTTTTTTTAGCATCTGTGTTGTCACACGTGTCATCATTTTGGAACAAAAATGTATAGCAAGACTGGAAGGCAACTTGGTAGTCATCTGAAAGTCAAAAATATGTTTTATAACACAGTGTTACAATTTCCCTGAAAAATAGCCATGTACAGAAAAAAAGCACAACTCAAAGGAAAAACTGACACATGAGACTATATTCAATTTTAAAAGTTTCTGTATCACAAAGACACCAAACACAAAGTTAAAAGACAAACTACAGACTGAGAAAAAATATTTAGAACATATGTGGATTGTTTTTCTCTAACGTGTATAAACATCTTGTATGACTCAATAAGAAGTAATCAAGCAATCCAATTTCAACAGGCAATTCATATAAAAGTAAACTCAAATGACCAAAATTTTCAGCATCACTAAAAATCAGGAAAATGCAAATTAAAATGAAATACCATTTTACATTCTTAAGAACTGACAGACACACAAATCTGAAAGTAATAAATATTGGTAACTTGAAGAAACTGGAATTTTCATATACTATTTGCAAGAGCAACTTCTTAGAAAGTAATTTGGTAAGATCTAAGAAAACTAAAAATGCAGATACTCATAGATGTGTACCAGTGTCTGGCACAAAGACATTCATGGCAGTGTTATTTATATTTTAAAAGGTAAACTTTTGCAAAGGCTCAGCCTGTTTGGCAAAAAATAAAAAAAGGTAAACTTTAAAAAATAAACAGAAGTCTATTCATTTGTTATCGTTTAGAGGGAATAAATTAAATCTAGTGTAGAGTCTCAGTCCAAATTCCAGTGGTACAGCTCACTAGTGTGTGACCTTGAATATCTCTGTGCCTTTGAGACTCTTTGGGTTTTTGATTTTCTGGGTCTTAGTTGTCTCTTTAAGCATGATAAGAGTGGTTATAGAAAGATATTGAAAACATATAATGAGCTAACAAGTAGGTTCCATATATATGGAGTATGACTCATTGATATAAATTTGAAAGCATTTACTCTATGTAATTATTTGTATCATTTATGTATATATACACACAACATGTATATATATACGTAAAATATTTTATTAGAATAGTGGTTGTCTCTGGGGAAGAGATGAATGGGATCTTCTATGGTTAATGATCTACACATATGATGAATCTCCATGTACTCACCACCTAGCCTAGAAACCAAAATATTCCCAATACTTTTGGAGTACCTTGTAAACCTCTCTAATCCCATTTCATTCTCTCTTCCAGAGCCCATCTCCTAGAAATAACAACTATCTAAAACTATATGTTAATAATCCCATATCTGTCGTTTATCCTTTAAACATATATATCATATAATAAATAATGTATTATTAATTTTACCTTTTTGGAATTTTACAGGGAGAGAATCAGATCCCATGTGTTTATCTATGATTTTCTTTTTCATTAAATATCATGTTTTTAAAATTTATCCAGGTTGGTACATGTAACTGTAATTCATTGATTTTTCATTGCTGTATAGTACTCTATTATATGAATATACCACAATTTATCTATGCTACTGATACATAGATAACATAGATAACATATTATCTATGTTAATGGGCATGTGGGTTCTTTCTAATTTTATTTTGTTTTGTTTTGGTCTTTGCTATTATGCACAAAGTTATAAATATTTAAGTATATATTGTCTGGTACATATAATGCAGAAATTACCTGCAAGTAGAATTGCTAGTTTATTCTTTTTGAGGTATCTTTTGACCAATCTTGTCTTTTGCTCTTTCTTCCACATAAATTTTAGCATAAGTTTGTCAGATTCCACAAAAACACCTGCTAAAACTGTTACTGAAACTATATTAAAGCTATAGGTGATTTTTAGAAGAATTAGCATCTTACCAATATTGAGCCTTTCTAACTATACATGGTATGTTTTCTGACAGCTTTCAATAAAATTTTATAATTTTTTTGTTTTATAACTTTTATCAGATTAATCCCTAGATGCCTTACATATTTTTGTAGCTACTATCTTTTAAAATACATTATCTGTTAAAATATACAGAAATAAAATCTTACATCTAACATTTTGCTCAACATTTTTATTGTCTATGGTTCTTAGGAATTTTCTATGTGAATCTGTAGCTAATAACAGATTTTCTCTTATTTCTAATTCTTTCTACCCCTTAGTTCTTACTTCTTTTCCTTATATTATTGTGCAGGGTAGGACTTCCAGAACAATTTTGAATCAAAGCATTTTATCACTCCTGATTTTAAAGGGAATAGCTTTAACATTTGAATATTGAGTATAAATGCCATAGGGTTTTTCACCCCACTTTTAACTTTTTCAAATTAAGAAAATTTTCTTTGATTCCTAGTTTTAGAATCATGAATGGTTGTTGAATTTTGTAGAATTTTTCCACACTTATTTGAGATGATTATTATTTTTCCCTTTTAATCTGTTAAAGTAGTGATTTCATTTAATAGATTTTCTAATGTTGAACTACATTTGCATTTCTGGAAATAATCCAATTTGACATGATGTATCTTTTGATATGCTGCTTGTTTTGATCAAAGTCATACATTTACATAAAAATAAAATTCCCTCTCCCCAGAGGCAAGCATTTTTAACATTTGTGCTTTAGTTCTTCTAGTGGTTAGTTCCAGCTCTTAAAATAATTTCCTTATAGCATTTTCCTGAATTATTAGTTCTAGAAAATGCATCTATTGACTTTCTTCTGTGACAGATGAGATATTAGCTTACACAACCACTCGTCTTTACTTCAAAATTTGTATACCTATGTCACTATTTTTACTATTTTTATAAATCAACAATGTTCTAAAAGCTCTTTCTAGTTCTACCCAATATAGGCAACATCCCCCCATGCATCTTCCCTTGTAATCTAATAGCATCTACACCCCTTTACTACCTCCCTGCCATGTTTTCTAATTTCAAAATTGAAAACATTTATAGTCTGTTCTGTATTTATAATAAATCCTTCATTGTTTTGTTGAAAATCAATAAATACTTAAATTATTATAATTGTACTATATAATAATCATTCACTCTGATATGACCAAATTTCTTTCACTAAATGTCACAACCTTGTGACCCACAAAGGATAAAGTTCTCAGCACAAAGATCAAGCAGATTGTTTTTACTCACACCAGTCTCTAAATCATGTCATATTCTAATTCACTTCATATTTGGACCATGACTTCTTAAAGAATATTTTCCCCTAAAATTTCTGGACGTCTTTTTTTCCCTCTTGTTCAGAGAAGTAATATTTGTGTTCTTTACTATATCCCTAATACCATCTAGCCTTTTTGTCATTTTACTAATGACCAATAATAATAAAAACTCATTCATGCTCTTGAAGACATTCTTTAGATCACAAACTTGGCACTCCAATTTATACTGATGTATTTCTAGGCTACTACATAGCTGGCAACATTGAGGGCCACTTCTTCCCTCCCCCCTCCCTCCTTCCTTCCTTCCTTTCTTCTATCTTACATTTACTTCTTTCTTCATTTGCAATGTTGCGTGGTGGGGTGCATTCTCAAAGAACTTTCTTAAAAAAGAAGAGTTTACCAAAGTAAACCATTTGAGTCCTTACAAGGCCCTCACACTTGACTGATCATTTAGTAAAAGATATGATTTTAGTTGAAATTCATTTTTCCTTAAAACTTCAAAGGCCTTGCTCTACTGCTTTCTAGCATTGATTATTGCTGTTGAGAAGCCTGATGCTGGTCAAACTCTCACTCCTTTCTAATAGTTGACCTGCATTTCCCACCTCTGAAATACTTTTTCTTGTTTTTTTATCAATTTTATCTATGGTGATTTAAAATTTCATTTTTGGTCTAGGTCTAGGTATTTTTTCATGTATGCTGTTCAGAACATGGTAGGCCTTTCTGACTTGAAGATTCTTCTCTCCCTTTAGCTTTGCAAATTCTTCTTGTATTTTTTTCTGTGACAATTGTCTCCTGCTTACTTTCTCCTTTGTATATATCTTGAATGTGTATTAGTTGAATGTGAAACTTCTTTATTTAGTCTCTTTCTCTTTCTCGCCACCCCCCTTACTCCACATAAATGGGCACTTGATTTATGACAGATAAAACACTGCAATGTTGTGAAGAAGGGTGATCTTCTCAATAAGTGGTTCTGTGTTAATTGTATATCCATATAGGAAAAAATTAATCTTAACTTCAGCCTCACACCATACACAAGAATGAATTTCAGATGAATTGCAGATCTAAATACAAAAGGTAAAACAAAGATAGGAACATAGGAGGGTATTTTTATGATTTTTATGTAGGAAAAAATTTCTAAAACTGAACACAAAAAGCACACACCATAAAAAATATTTATAATTGGACAACATTAAAATTATAAACTTTGGGTAATCAAAAGATATCATTAACTGAATAAAAAGGCAAAATGGAGTAGGAAAAGATATTTGCAATACATATAATCTACAAAAGGATATATATGTCTTTGGCTTATATCTCTAAGCCAAAGATAGAAACTTCCAAGAAAAATCAGCAGAGTTCTTGAATAAGGAGTTGCCCCTAAAAAATCATGCAAAAACAAACATACTATATAGTCTTCAATCTCTTTAGTCATCAAAATAAATTTTAAATTAAGACCACTTTGGAAAACTTCTTGGCAGTGTCCACTAAAGCTGAAAACATGGATGTCTTATGATCCAGCCATTCCACTCCTTGGTATAACATAAAAATGCATATATCTGTGCACAAAAATGTCATGTGCAATTGTATTCATAGCAGCATTATTCATGATAACCCAAATGTTTGTCTACAGTATAATGAATAATAAATTGTGATATTATACCCACCAGAAAGATGAATCACATAAACATAATGTTGAACAGAAGAAGATACAAAAGAATATGGATTATATTATTTCATTTACACAAAATTCAAAAGCTGGCCAAACTAACCTGCTAGAAATCAGAAGGAAGAGGGGTTGGTAGGGACTGGAAGGGATCATGGTACAGACTTCTGGGTACTGGTCTTATTCTGTTTCTTGACCCAGTGATGGTTATATGGGTGTTCCCTTTTTCATAATTAAGCTATCCTCGTGATTTGTGTTCAATG